GGTTGTGCTGCAGCCCACCCTCACGCCATCAGTTCAGTTTCCAGATGTGCCATAAATAACTCACGAGATCCGTCCCGCAGCGCGTGCCATGAAATATTCATCCTGGCTGTAACTGAGCGGGTGAAGTGGAGTTCAGTGCTGCACAGCCCGGGGGTCCCTGCGGGGCGCTCAGCCCTCACCCCACAGCGCTGCCAGAAAGGGAGATGGGCACACTGGGACTGGGGGGGGGAGGGGGTCCTGCAGGTGGGGCCCAGCCTTTGTGGGGACGGGAGGTTGGATGCGATGCTTTCCCTGTGCTGCGGTGTTGGTGGATGCTGATGGCTCTGCTCTCCCCCCAGATGTGTCCCCAGGGGCCCTGGGCTGCGCTGCTGCTGCTGGTGGGTGTCCTCGCTTCTGACACGCCGCCCAGTGCCAGGGGAAGGAAGAAGGTGGTCCATGTCCTGGGTGAGTGCTGGGGGGTCCATGGTGGGGGTGCAGGCGCCCCTTTGTGGAGCTTTTGTGGAGCGGGGTTTAATGTTCATGGAAGCACAGCGGAGCCGTCCTGTAGCTTGCAAAGCTCCTCCAAAGCAGGAACCCTCCCCAAAAGCTGCTTCTTCCCATCTCTGAGCCGAATGGCCGCTCTGCCCCACCACAGCTCCATCCCATCTGACTCTGCGATGGGGCAGCTTTGGGAACGAGGAGCCCACTGAGCTCAGTGTCCCTTGCAGAGGGGGACAGCGGGGCCGTGGTGGTGCAGACAGCTCCAGGGAAGGTGGTGACGCACCGGGGCGGCACCATCATCCTGCCCTGCCGCTACCACTACGACGTCTCGGCCCACAACCCCGACGAGATCCGCCTCAAATGGACCAAAGTGACGGAGCCGATGGCCTTCGTGGACGTCTTTGTGGCTCTGGGGAAGGCGAGGAGGGCGTTCGGCAGCTACCGCGGGCGCACGGCGCTGCAGGAGGATGGCTTTGGGGACGCCTCGCTCATCATCCGCAACGTCACCCTGCAGGACTACGGGCGCTACGAGTGCGAGGTGACCAACGAGCTGGAGGATGACACCGGCATGGTCAAGCTGGATCTCGAAGGTAGCGGATCCGATGGGAACGGGGACACGCGGGGACCGTCGGTGGCCATGTGTTCTGTGTGGGGTGACGCAGCTCCCGGAGCCACATCCTCAGGCTCAGCTTTACGGCTGCTTGTTTGTCCCGGCATGCGCCGTGTTTTATTGCATCTGTTATTGGCTTTTATTGTTGCTCCAGGTTGACTCGCTGGCAGCTCGTAAAGGCCGCAGATAGATGGAGGCACGGCCTCGTAAAGCAGCAGGGGGGACCGGGGCGCGTGGCAGCATCGGTGCCGCACGTGGCTGGGAGCTGAGCTGTGGCACGGGCTGGAACAGCTGGGGATGCTGAGAAAAGGGGAAAAGCTTTGTCAGCGCACGGCTGTGCCGCGTGGTCAGTGCATGCCTGCTGCAGGGGCTCAGCCCCGTGCCTGGGTGCTCCGTACGGCGTCGATGTGACCCCCGCTTTGCTATGGGGTGAAGGGCGGTTCACGGGTGATGCTCTCACACCACAGCCCCGCTTGCTGCCCCACAGGCGTCATTTTCCCCTACCATCCTCGCCTGGGCCGCTACACCCTGAACTTCCACGAGGCGCAGCAGGCGTGCCTGCAGCAGGACGGCATCCTGGCCTCGCACGACCAGCTGCACCAGGCCTGGCTGGAGGGCATGGATTGGTGCAATGCAGGCTGGCTGCAGGACGGCTCCGTGCAGTACCCCATCTCCCACCCGCGGGAGGAGTGCGGCCGCAAGGACACCCCGGTGGGTGTGCGCAACTACGGCTACCGGCACAAGGAGAGCGAGCACTACGATGCCTTCTGCTTCACCTCCAACCTCAACGGTGAGTGGGGAAGCTGAGGCACTGGAGAGAGGTTCCCCGTGGAGAGAAGGGGCCGTTCCCAGTCTTCTCCCTGTGCTGCAATGCCAAGGTCCTGCTGGATGCTGCTAATGGGACCGGCCTCAGGAAGTGGCTGCACACCCCCATGTCGCATCACGAGGGGTTCGGGAGTGGGGACCCCCATCCAATACCGGGGTCCATCTGTGTGCCCCCATCACCCTCTGCTCGGGGGCACTCGCTCTCAGCCCAGCTCTGTGTTCCCTGAGCAGGAGGAGGGGATGGAGGTAATTGCAGCTGCGAGTGGCCCGGGTGATGGATGAGGCCGGGGCCAGGCAAGACAGATTGGAGCCGTGAGGGCTCTGGGGCTGTGTAAATTCCTCCTGGCTGGCAGGGCAGCGTGGGGGGGGGCTCTGCGGATGTTTGTTTAATGGTGGCAGGCAGGATAAATAGCAGGCAGCACCGCCAGCACCAGCGGCACCGCGCAGCCCCGTAAATCTGCCCGTGCTGAGGGGGGGCCCCCACGGCTGGCCGCTTGTCTCCTCCATCCCTTCTGATGAGGATTGGGCTGGGGAGGCCCAGATCCCCCACAGGGATGGATGTAGGGCTCACCCCTCCTGGCAGCACTGCTCACTTCCATCTCCACCCAATGCCCCACCCGCTGGCGCTGCACCCCATCCCCAAACCCCTTCCTTTTCTGCACCCCCCTTCTCTTCCCCAGGCAAAGTCTACTTCCTGAAGACGTTCCGCAAGCTGAGCTACGCCGAGGCGGTGCAGGCCTGCAAGAACAACGGGGCGGCCGTGGCCAAGGTGGGGCAGCTGTATGCTGCCTGGAAGATCCAACTGCTGGACCGCTGCGAGGCGGGCTGGCTGGAGGACGGCAGCATCCGTTACCCCATCGTCAACCCGCGGGCGCGCTGCGGCGGCCGGGAGCCTGGAGTGCGCAACCTGGGCTTCCCGGACAAGAAGTACAAGCTTTTTGGAGTGTACTGCTTTAAAAAGGCTGGTGATGCTCCTCCTGAGAAGAAGAAGGGTGAGGGGCATCCCAACCGTGTGTGATGCAGTGCTGGGGTTCCCCACGAGGCTCCCCCAGCCCTGCATGGCTGCAGAGCGTCCTTGGACTCCGCCGGGAGCCCCCAGGGTTGGGGCTGTGCACGTGGAACTGGAAAAGCTCAGGTGATGCCAGCGGGTGCTGTGCTGTACCCGGGCCCAGTGATGCCCGGGGGGAAACTGAGGCACCTGGAGAGAAAGCACTGAGCTGCCTGGGCAGGAAGATCCAGCACCAACCTGGCAGAGCCCATCTGAAGTCATCGCTTAGAATTCAGCGCATTGCATGTGCAAAAAGCCTGGCCAGAGCAACGCAGGACTGAACCCCCCGCGTCCTTGTGCTCTCCAGCTCTGCGCTGGGACCAACCCCACCTCGGGGTGCTGCAGGTAACACAGCAGCGGGGGCACAGCCCCAAAATCTGGCACCAATGCAGGCGGTGCCCACTTGGGGCAGCAGCCTCTCGCCCTCGCGCTTGGCTTAGTGCAGAAGCTGCCCCGAGCTGCCTGCCCACCCCGGCCGGGGGCAGCTCTGGGTGTCATGCAGCCACAGTGCTGTGAGCTGGACTTAGGTAAAATAAAAGCTTCAGCTGCTTCGGAGAGCTGAGCCAGGCTCACGTGTCTCCTTTTCCTGGTGCCTGCTGGCGAGGGCAGCAAAAGGGACCCCGGGGTGCACAGAACCACGGGACAGCACTCACCCCACCTCCCACCCAACTGAACATCGCTCGTGGTTTCTCTCTGTACCCAAAGTCCTGGTCCAGCAGAACTGGGTGTGTTTCAGGATTTCCCCAGCAGCATCCTTACAGCATCCCTACAGCAGCATCCTTACAGCATCCCTACAGCATCTCTACTGCATCCCATCCCCACTGACAGATCAGGACCAGCCCCAAGTGTGGGGAGCAGCACCACAGCAACACAGTGCCAGCTGTGACCCCTGAGCCACTGTGGGCACAGCAGGGCATGGGCTGGGGACCCCATGTCCCCCACACAGGGGGGGGGCACAGCAGCTGCTTCTGTGCTGGGCACAGCTGAGCACAGTGCATCTGTCACCTTCACGGCTCTTCCAGCACTGATGACAACAAATAGCTGCCAGGAGGTGACACGTGTGGCCACTGGGAACACAGCAAGGGGACTGGGGGCCACCAGAGCCCCAGGTGATGCTGTCACACGGTGACGGATGGCAGCGGGGCAGTGACACAGCCCTGGTGTGAAGGAGGGTCGTGTTGGATAACACCAATTTAGCCATGAAAGGATGAAGATGGAGAGCAGCGGGCAGGGAGTGCATCCCACCTCCACGGGGTCCCCGCACCCGCAGTCCCCAGCCAAGCACAGGCTCGGGGCTGCTCAACTGTTAAAAAAATTTATTAAAATGTCCAGCAGTACAGAAACGCAGAGTCAGAAATGCCACGGAGGAGGGGAGGGGGTACGGGACACTGCAGTCACATCGCAAACAGCAGAGATCAGAAAGCGCCATACACACACACACCAACTCCAATGGGAAACCGACAATGAACGGAAAAAGGGAAATCCAACCCCAAAATCCAGCCCAGAGGGTCCCACAGGGCGGGACAGGGACCCCCGTGCTGGCTGTGGGGACATTGGCAGGGCAGGAAGACAGGGGGGGGCTGTTAAAAAACCGGAGCCCCCCACGGGGCAGCGGGGTGATGGGTGGGGGCTGCTGCGTGTCCCCCCACAGCCTGGAGGGGAGCAGAGCCCAGGGGGCCATCGGCCGCCATGGGGCAGCCCCCCCAGGACCCAGAGGGGATTTTGGGATCCCCATGCAGGGTCAGGGGCTCGACCCCGGGGTGGGGCATGCAGGGGGGGGGCTGGGGACGCACACGCAGCCGCCCCCGCTGGGTCCTATTCCCTACGGGGCCGGGCATCCTAGGAGCTAAAGCAAAGAGGGTTATAAAAGAGGGGAGGGGGGAGGCTGGAGGGGGGTCAGGGGGACGTCACCACGTCCCATCCCATGGACGGCTGTTCCTGGGGTGCCTGGGGATCGCACGCTCGCTGCCTCCCCGGCCCTAGAAGTAGTGGCCCTCCTCCATCCAGTCCAGCCGGAGGTGCTTGCGGTGTTTTCGCCGCTCCTTGCGGGGTTTGTGGTGGTGGTGCTGGTGGTGAGGGTGGCTGTGGCGGTGCCGGTGATGCCGCCGTGCCCGGTGCGACCGCCTGGCTAATGGGGGGGGCAAAGGGCAGAGACGTTGGGGGGGGTCAGGGAGCCCCCATCCCTACAGCCCCCATCCCCACCGTACCCCCAGACCCCACTAACGTTTTGTGCAGAGCAGTTTGGGCCGGTCCCACTTGCCGTTGCTGTGGCACCTGATGGTGGGGACGTGGCGCTGGGTGAAGCCCTCCTCGCACTGGTAGCGCACGCTCGAGTGGATGCTGTACCTCTCCTTCTTCTTCCCCACGAGGAACGCGTTCTCCACCTCGGGGGGGGGCCCACAAAGCACTGCGGGGGACAGAGACCCATCAGTGCCCACCTGGACTCCTGGTACCAGCAGGGGACATGGAGACAAGGGGACACACGGACAATGGGACACAAGGGGACACCCCACACCCGCCACGGCCTTAGGATAAATCCCATCCCATCCCATTGGTGCTGCAGTGAGGCGTTCCTGAGGATTTACAGAGGTAATTAATGGCCCTATTGGGGAGAGCGCATCGTTCCGCGCGGCCGCGGGAGCGGGAGGAGCGCTCCCAGCGAACAGCTGGAGGTTAATATAACTTTCAAGATAAGGAATGAGAGCTTAATAGTTTTAATGGTGGCAAATTAAGCAAATTAAAGTGGAGAGGGAAGAATTAACTACAGGGGAAGAAAAAATAATGGAGATTAAGGGGAGCCGCTCGGGTTTTCTTTGGGAGAGGTTTCCTGAGGATGAGGAGGTGCCAGGAGGCTGCAGGATGGGGATGCAGGATAGGGAGGCTGCAACGGGGAGGCTGGGAGCCCACGGGATGCTGTAGGATAGGGGTGCTGGGATGGGGAGGAAGGGGCCATGGGATGGGGATGCTGCGGGATGAGGGATGGGGTGCTGCAGGGTGCGAGATGAGGATGCTGGGGGATGTGGGACGGGGAAGCCGGTGGCTGCAGGATGGGGTTGGCAGACGAACAATACCTGTGCCCTTCTTGCAGATGTAGGGCAGGTTGTAGTTGCAGGGCACGTCGTTCCACTTGCCGATCTCATGGGAAACCAACACCACGCAGTCCTCACCGCCCGCAAAGAAGTTGTCGGGTTGGTTCTCCCTCCAGTTCTCGTATTGCTGGTGGGAAACGGGGGAGGCTGAGAGCGCTCGCGCCCCACAACCCCCACCCCACGAGGAGCCACCCCATGGGTCTCACCAGGCCGGTGTTGTCCGTCCATTGGAAATCCTGCTCCACAATCCTGTCGTTGAGCCCGATCCAGGTGTTCTCGTGCCCAAAGCCTGGCAAGAAAGGCATCAGAGGCGGCCCCAGGCACCGGCATCCACGGGGCTGGGGAGCACCCAGGGGTGCTGCTGCTCCCTTCCCCCCCCCCACAATGTGCCCATACTGTTGATGAAGCCGTGCTCCTCCTGTGAGTGGATGCTGGTGAGATGCCCGGCGCGCCGGCGGCAGTCACGCTCTGCGTCCTCCCAGGAGCGCCGCCGGGAGAAGTAGCGGTAGCAGTGGCCCTGGAACTTGTGCCAGTTGTGGTCACAGCCCTCCGTGTCTGCGGGGATGTGGGGACACCAGGGGTAGGGAGAGGGACGGGCACCACCCCAGGATGTGTGAGGGGCTCCTGGGTTCAGCTCCCCACCCCCTATGGGACAGGGCTGGGGGATCTGGGGGCTGCTCTCCCCCATGCCACCCTCCCCACCTTTCTCACAGCGGCTGCCTCCGTAGCTGGGCAGGCAGAGGCAGATGAAGGCGTTGACCTCATCGATGCAGGTGCCGCCGTTCTGGCAGGGGCTCGACAGGCAGTCATCGATGTCTGCGGGGATGGCGAGGGGCTGCAGGCAACGCTGAGACCCCCGGCACCCCCTGCCCTCCCCATCCCCATCCCCAGCATCCATCCTGGCGCGGCCGTCCGCTCACCGATCTCACAGTTCTCCCCGGTGAAGCCCGGGGCGCAGCTGCAGCCGCAGACGGAGCCGTTGGCGTGGCACGTCCCGCCGTGCAGACAGGGGTTGGTCTGGCATGGGTCAGCTGGAGCTGTGGGGTGGGAGTGCTGTCAGCAGAGCACTTCACCCAGCCCACCCCACTGACAGCCCCATGCGGGAGGATGCCCACCCAGCCCCGGCTCCTTGGTGGCACAGTGGGGACAACACGGCCCCATGGCGGCCCCAGGGCAGTCATTACGGCAGTGCTTCCACCTCTCAGTGCCTCTAAACTTTAAATCTATTCTTTTTGCAGACACTAAAGGCTGCGTGTGCTGCACACCCTCAGCCAGGAGTCACCTCGCTCTCTATTATTATTCGCAACCACAAATATTAAATATTTAGGAGGATGCTTTTCTGGCTCACGTTCACAGCTCAGCTCACTTGGAAAAACCCATCGCAGCCAGTGAAAGTCCCCACTGAACCCCACGGTTTGGACACCTCTGCCTTAAACCCAACCCCAGCTCCCTGTGCCCCGTGCTCACCATGCTGGCTGCTGTTGCTGCTGTCTGCCCACACCAGCAGCTCCTGCTCCTCCAGCACGGGCTCCTCACCGCTCCCACTGTCAGTATCCAGCAGCAAAGCCCCCCCTTCGCTCCCCGGTGTGGTGGGCTCAAAGAGTGGCCCCGCACTCGGGGCTTCAGGCCCATCTGGCACCCATGGGTGGGGGGCGGTGGGTGACGGCCAATGGGTGTCAGGGGATGCTGAGGGGTGGGTGGCTGTGCTGGTAAGGGGTTCGTTCTTTGCCTCCTCTGAGGTGTCCTCTTCGCCAGGACTGGGGGGCTGTTGAGGATCTGGGGGGTGTGAGGGATGCTCCTCTCCTTCCAGCCCTGGCTCAGAGGGGTTTGGGTGCTGTGGGGCAGCTGTAGGGCCGTCCCCCACCTGCCCGCTGCCCTCCG